GGGTTGGACTGGATGGCCCTTGGTCTCTTCCAAGTCTGTCATTCTAAATTATGCTACGTATGTGGGGCAAATTGTTTTTAGCCCAATAGACATAGCCCAATGGACATATGCTGCTGAGAGTGACAAAAGCAGAGTTGCATGCACATCAAGATTTTGTATTGTAGTTGTGAACTGCACATTTCACATTGTGCCATGGAACTCAGCCATTGACATAGAATCATAGAGTTGGAAGAGACCACAAGGGTCATCCAGTCCAATCCCCTGCCATGCAGGAACTCAAAATCAAAGCATCCCTGACAGATGGCCATCCAGCCTCTGTTTAAAGACCTCCAAAGAAGGAGACTCCAGCACACTCTGAGGGAGTGTGTTCCACTGTAGAACAACTCTCACTGTCAGAAAGTTCCTCCTAATGTTGAGGTGGAATCTCTTTTCCCGTAGCTTGCATCCATTGTTCTGGGTTGCATGTATTATGAAATGATGCTTTTTTGCATGGAGGTTCCATTGTGCTAGTGCAGGACCAAGCTACAGAACTTTCCAGCTGTTTGTGTTTATTTCATATTAATTTGATGAACAATTTCAATTTTAATCATTGTTTTGGATGTTGTTTATATGTCCAAGATCCTACAGGGATTGGGGGATTCATCAAAAGCAATTTTTCTAAGCTCTGATTACAGTCAGCCCTCCATATCTACCAGATGCATCTGAGGAAGTAGGCTCAAGTCTATGAAAGCTCATGCTACCAACTTCTATCATTCAGTTAGTCTCAGAGGGGCTGCATATCCCTTTGCATACTGGTTTTCCAGACAAACATGAAACTAACATGTCCACAGATTTGGCACCCATAGATTCAACCATCCACAACTTGAAAATATCTCCCCAAATAAAAAAAAAAAATCAAAAAGTAATCCTTAAGATTGCCATTTTATTAAGTGTGTATATATGTACACAGTAGGCCCACTGTATCCATGGCTTCTGCATCCATGGATTCAACCATTCCCAGTTTGAAAACATTTTTTTTTTAATTTCAAAAAGCAAAGCTTGATTTTGCCATTTTCTATAAGGGATACCATTTTACTAGTACCTCATTGTATATGGAGTTGAGTATCCATGGATTTTGGTATCCACAGAAGTCCTGGAACTAAACTCTGGCGGATGCCAAGGGCCTGCTGTATTTCTAATAGTACAGTTAGGGCTAAGCCTTTATTTGGATATTCCTGAACGCAAAGGAACAGCCTTTATAACAAGCCACATTATTTCTTCATCACCTCCAGCTTGACAGCCATCTGACAGTGAGGCTGTACTTGCAAGATCCTGCATTGAGCAAAATATCAAAGTAGATGATCTCCAAGATATCTTCCAACTTCTATTATTCTATTATTCTCTGTGTGCATTCATCATATAAACTATTACTAGGCATGTACATTCCCTTATGCATACGCTTGTATTTTTGGGTTGATGGCCTAGTATCTACTCAGTTCACAGTCTGAGGAATGTAAGTGTTGTACTGCAATTGTGTGTTCTTGAATGGTGCTTAACTATTTGTCAGTGCCTCCAGGATACCAGTAGGATTTTCAGTGGGATTCAGTGGGATTTTGGAAACAAGCAAGTATACTTTACAGATACATAGTAGGTTGCATAATGTTGGTATTCACAGAAGAGTGATGTAGTGCAACCACCATTTAACTATATCAATGCAGATTTACATTACGCAAGTGTGATGTAGGATCTCAGGTGTTTCTTTTAAAGGTCAAAGACATTCGTTTGTATATAGCATTGTTTATGCTAATCACACATAGGAGCAGACCTTAAGAAAGTTACCTTTTAGGATGATAACTTCCAGGAATTTGCCAGTCAATATGACCAGTGGGCAAATTCCATTCTGTGTATGTCTGGGTTCATTCAAGCATCTTGATGGACTGATCATCAAGATGCTTGAATAAACCCAGACATTCAAGCATCTTGTTAGGATACTACTACCTGAGTTTGCTGGTAGAAAGAATGATTAGAAAAAAGGTTTTTAATGTAAATCAGGGCTTAAGGGGAAAATTGGACACCTTGGATGAGGGAATCTAGGAGCTATAGTCCAAAAACTTAACTTTTTCAACTCTGGCCAACTGCTTAATTTACCTCCAGTCATGATTTATGCCTCAGAGGGTCTCAAAGGAAGATAAGCCTGTTCTATAAACTTTCTGACTGCACTTCTGTCATCAACAGATTTTTTACAAAGTAAATGATGTGAAGGTTGTGACCTACAGTGTTAAAAGGAAGGAATTCAGAAATTGTAGCTATATACCTGCCAAGAACAGGGATACTTGTTTTAAAAAGAGCTTTCTCCCCTCCCCACAGTTGTTTTGCTGCTACTTTATTTTATTTTATTTTATTTTATTTTATTTTATTTTATTATTTTTGTGAGATCAATCCATGAAATAATGAGACCACCCACAAAATGTTGGGTTGAAATATGGGCCATTTTATTTAAACTATCATCTCTTTAAGTTTTATCCCCTGAGATGTACAACAGCCTGGATCAACCTAGTGTGGGTGCAAAGTGGCGCGTCACAAGGATGGTGTCACTCCCATGAAAACAAAAAGAGACTGAGTTATATATGAATAACTGGGAATTCTTGGAGTCATGGTTTCCCCTTCTCCCCAGGAAAGAGGACCCTGCCTGGGGATTGTAGGAACTGAAGTCCCACAAATAGTAAAAGCAGGATCTGTCTGGAAGATTCTGAGTTTTGCAGTCCTCCCAAAAGTTAAAAATAAAACTCGCTGAAAATATGGGATTAGAGTTTTATATATAGAGAGAGAAATAAGGTTTAAATTGGAAGGAAGATATTATAAGATCATCACATTAAGGTAGTTACTGACAGGAAAGAATGAAGAATGGATGTTTAAGTCTGGGCCAATGTAGACAGCCTGTAAGGGGTGGCTCTGTGCTGCTCCTGGGAGCAGCGGATCGGGGCTGCGGCCCCGATCCTTCTTTATGCCGCCCCCAAAAGAGCAGGCAATTTTTTGGGGGGTGGTGGTGGCAAAAAGCCACCCTTAGAGCTGCTGCCGCAGCTCTTTTGCACCCCTTTGGCGCAGTGTGTCTGCACGCTGCACCAAGAGGGGGCCCTGATGCTGTGCACCATATGGTTGGGCGCGCAGTATCAGGCCGAGTCGGGGCGGCTTGCGTGCCATTGCCCCACCTCCAGGCCAGCCTAAAGTGCCCGTCTGCTTCCCCCCTAAGTTTAGAGAAGGTTGGTTCCTTGGATTCAGCTGTTTCTTTATTCAACTCTTTATAATTTTGACCTTTGTCAACATGTACACTCCCTCCTACCAAACCTCAGCCTTGGCTTACTCCTTTTATTCGGTATCATTGTTCCTGCTCTTGCTCAGCAGAACATTTGTGGAGGAAGACTATGGAGTGGGTAGGCTATATTCATTATAAATTCATTCACCTCTCTCTTGGGCCAAACAGGAATACTATACTTCATTGATTTGTGCTAACCCTGTAGCATCTTTTTTCTGATTTTAATTTTATTTTAAAGCTCTCCCTCCATCACTGATGATTTTGCAGCTTTTTGTAACACTAAAATTGAAACTATCATTCAGATCTTGCTGCTCCTGAACTTTCTCCTTGTTATTAATCTATCCTTTTCTACTGGTTCATTTCCTTCTGAGTTTAAACATGCTACTGTTTCTCCAATTTTTAGGAAGCCTTTACTTGATCCATTTTCTCTTTCTAATTATCACCCTGTTTCCTTGTTGCCTTTCCTCTGGAAAGTTTTGTAATATGCTCAAGTTACTTTTTCCTGTTTCTGTAATGGATTCTTTGCAATCTGGATTTCCCCCTCTTGCACGCTATGGAGACACCTCTTACAACAATCACAGATGACCTCCTTCAGGCCAAGTCAAAGGGCCTATATTCAGTCCTTATTCGCCTTAAATTCTTTGCAGCCTCTGACACAGGTGATCATGCTCTTTTTTTGGACTGACTTCATGACCTAGGGTTTACTCATTCAGTCTTCAGCTGGTTATGAACCAGGGTTATTTAATACAATAGCTGGAGATCATGAATCTCCTCCTTTTCCCCTTTCAGTTGGGGTTCTACAGGATTCTGTTCTGGGCTCTTTTTTGTTTTCTTTTTATACAGTATATTTACATAACCTTATCAGTTCTCATGTTTTTTAATATCAACTTTATGCTGATGATACTCTGCTATTTTTCTCTGCTCCAAAACTCTCTTCTGACATTGAACATTGTGTTACATCCTGTCTTTCAGCTGTTTCAGCATGGATGCTTCATCGTCGGCTAAAACTTAATATGGCAAAGAGAGAACTACTTATGTTTTTCCCAAAACCACTTTTACAAGGTCCGTTCTCCATCACTGTTAATAATATTCACATTTATCCTGTGAAGGAAGTACATAATCTTGGCCTTATTTTTTTACTATTCTTTGTCTTTTGTTCCTCACGTTGATTTTTTTCTTTATAACGTTGGCCAAATCAGACCTTTTCTTTCTGTTTCCTCTGCTAAGACTTTAGTTCATGTCTCAATCATTTAATGCCTTGGTTATTGTAATCTTCTTTTGCCTGGTCTTCCATTATCTCACCTTAGTCCTTTGCTTTCCATCCAGCATTCTGCTTCTAGATTATCTTTTTTGGCCCATTGTTTCAATGTTACCCCAATTTTGATATGTCATTTGTTCTAGGATTCAACACAAGCTTTTTGTTTTAATATTCAAACCTTTACACAACCTAGTTCCTCCTATCTTATTTCTTTTTACTAGCCTGCTCGAAATCTGTGTTCTAGGAATTTTGGCTTCTCACCCAACAAAGGGCTTGCTGTTCTTTGGCCTGCTTTCACCTGTTTTCATTCCCTGCTCCATACTCCTGGAATTGTGTCCCAGAACATTTGCAGGCTGCTAATTCCTTTGTTATTTTTAATTTGCAATTAAAAACTTTATTGTTTTCCAAAGCTTTTGGAATTTTAGTTTAATATAATCTTGTATGTTTTGAGCCAGTGTGGCATAATGGTTTGAATGTTGGATTATGACTCTGGAGATCAGTGTTCTATTCCCTGCTCAGCCATGAAACCCACTTGGAAAAATCACATGCTCTCAGCTTCAGGAGAAGATAATGGCAAACCTCCTCTGAAAAAATCTTGCCAAGAAAAACCCATGATAGGTTCTCCTTAGGGCATCATAAGTCGGGAACGACATGAAGACACAACAACAACAACAACAATAACAATGTTTTTATTATTATATATTTATCAGTTTGCTTTATGTTACATTATATTTTTTTGTATTTTATCTGGATAATTTGTTTTACAGTTGTGATGTATAGTTTTAATACGGTAGTTTTATTATTTCTCCTCTCTCTCTCTCTCTCTCTGTATGTTTATGTGTGTGTATACACATATATTTTAGATGGCACACCTTTGATAGGACCCAATCTTTTTGGTTTTGTTCTACTTGTAAAGTGCCATATTGATGAATGAATAAATAGATAAATAGATAAATAAATAAATAAATAAATAAATAAATAAATAAATAAAGTCTAAATGGTATACCCATGAGTGGATATTTCAAACCCCTTGGTATTTGCTGGACTTTGGTTACGGGATGTCCTGTTGATGCCAAAATCCATGGGTGATCAAGTCCCACTATATACATTGGAGTAATAAAATGGTGTCTCTTATATAAAATGGCAAAATCAAAATTTGCCTTTGGAATTAAAAAAAAACCCCTCAAGCTTTGGATGGTTGAATACATGAATGCAAAATTTATGGATACGGAGGGTCAACTGTAATACAGCCCTCTAGTTGTTTCGGAATTACGACTCCCAGCATTCCTTGTCATTGCCAATGTGGCCTAGGCGCTGCTGGGAGTTGCAGTCCAATAACATCTTCAGAACCACATGTATCCATCTTGGGTTTAAAGAATTTAAATTTTAAATGTCATGCATAGAACTGAGCTGGGATTGTCATGTGGGAAAGCTACTGACCTGCAATGAGGCTGTTTGATGTATGTCAGAAGATAGTTTTGGAGTGGAGTAGATAGGACTGAGCTGTGATTGGTATGTATTCTGGAGAAATTGCCAAACTGGTAAGAATCACATCTGGACCCATCTATTGTGCTCTGGAGTCCTGCTTGCTTTGTCCTTCACCTTCCCCCATGCATTTATCCCCATCCATTTAAGAGAATGTGGTGCTGGAGAAGAGTGCTGAGGATCCCATGGACAGCCAAAAGGACAATCAAGTGGATCCTAGAGCAGATCAAGCTGGAAACCTCCCTGGAAGCCAAGATGACCAAACTGAGGCTATTGTACTTCGGACACATCATGAGAAGAGAGGACTCTTTGGGGAAAAAATAATGCTAGGAAAGATGGAGGGAAATAGGAAGAGAGGAAGGCCCCATGCCAGATGGATAGACTCTATTAAGGAGATCACAGGTATTAAGGGCTTGCAGGAATTAAGCAGAGCAGTGGAGGACAGAGGGTCTTGGAGATGGCTCATCCATAGGGTCACCATGAGTCAAGATTGACTTGAGGGCAGTTAACAACAACAACAATTGCCCTTAGCCTCTGAGACCTATATTGAATTGGAATTTGGCCCCCTACTGAAAACAATCAGCATTTACGGTAGTATCAAGAGGAAGATGGGAGACCAATGGATTAGTCACTCTTAGGGCACTGGTGGCTGGTGGCTCCCATATTATTAGGGCAGTGAATCCACACCAGGTTTCAGCGGCAGTATACAAGGTGCTAAACCTATTTAGGAAACAGGTTGAGCATTTTAGAGAGCTTCTGTACATCTACTCAAAACTTGATCCATTCATTGTCAAGGAGCCACTGGCCATGACTCTGCTGGGGGCTGCACATTTCAGGTACTGACTAAGACTCTGAAATAAAGAAGCCGTGATTGACCTCCATTTTTTTTTTAAAAAAAGCAAGCCCAGATTTGTCTCTATCCTTAACTGAAACAGGAATAAAGTGTACCATGCCAAATCTTTGCATTCTCAAAGCCTGAGGATAATTTTGTCTGGTGAACAATAGTAAAAATGTTGTTTGGAGACAGACTGTGTTGTATTAATTAGCAGCTGGAAGGGAAGAAAGAGAACCCCTAGGCCAAGATCCTGCTTAATGCCAGCAAAGTGTACAGCTCAGCCAGTCTGCTTACACAGAAGAAGGGAGGGACGGTACTGACAGCACTAGTGTTAGCAGGGGATTATTACATTACATTACATTACATTATTTACAGTCAGCCCCCCCC